TTGGAAAAGGCTTTTCTCCCTCTGGGGCAGCCAGGTGCAATGCAGTTCTTGGTGAAGGCCACTCTGCATAAGGGTGCAGGGTGAACCCTTCTGGGGAATCTCAGAAAATGGGCTGTGCATACCTCCAGTTCATTTTAAACAACGGCTTCTACATATGATCCTATGCATTGAAAGGCCAATGTCTGTTTCTCTACCCAATCACTAATGAGGTTGTTTTCCACCATGGGGAACTGGTTTCACAAAATTTGTAAAGAAATACTAGCTATTAGGGAAGGCTAAGAATTCACTGGGTTTGCATCGTAATGCAAAATCACCCAGTTTTGCACCTCCTTGACTCAATTGCAATTTATGACTGGAAATTTGTACATTTTGGGGCTTGTAATGCAATTCTGCAAAAACAACAACAACAACTGTGGTCATCAACTTGCATGCATTTCAAAAATACACAAACATGCTTGATTTGGTGGGTGTGTACATACAAAAATGTAAGCATGTGAAATAAGCTGACATTTCTGGGTGGGGAGGCGAGGCAAGGCTCATGTGGAACTGAAACGGAACAGGCTTGGAGGAGGAAAAACAGGGACTTTGACAAGATTGAGCTTGACAGATTCATCCATCCATATTAGCAACACAATGCAGTTTTCAGCTGTATTATCCTATTTATTAATAATTAACTTGCTTGCCAAGTGTGGAGAGTCTTATAGAGGCCTGCTGCCACATGGAGGGCTCCTGGCGCTACCAATAGAATCATACAGTTGGAAGGGGCCTAGCAAGCCATCGGGTCCAACCGCATGCTCAGTGCAAGACTCATCACCCATCCAGATTTCAACCCAGCCCAACCATGCTTAGCTTCTAAGCTTAGGCAGAATCAGGCAGTTCAGGCCGTAGCCTGGCTATTTATTTATTTCCAATTTATATCCTGCCTTTTTCCTACAAAGGGCTCAAGGCAGCTTACATCATTCTCCTCCTCCATCTTATCCCCACAACAACCCTGTGAGGTAGGTTGGGCTGAGAGTCTGTGACTGGCCCAAAGTCACCCAGTTGGCTCCATGGCTGAGCGGGAACTAGAACCCAGATCGTCTGAGTCCCAGTCCCATGCTCTTAACCACTACACCACACTGGCTCTCTTGCTTATTCCATCTCACATGCCAATTCCATCTTTCCTGTTATATTAGCCTTTTAATCTACTTTAAAAATGGTAAAAAAAAAACTTAAGAAAATATAGGAGAGCTACAAAGAGAAGAAGAAGTGAGTAAGACTGAGCCATTGCACAATAAATGCAATTTCTGGAAACAGCCATAACCAAAACAGTTCTATGCATGCTCAAAAGGAAGGTGTTGGAGAAGCCACAATGTTTGCAGAAGTATAAACATCTTGAGAGAGAGCTTTTCTACATGAGGCTGCTAATTGGCAGTAAATGTGTTGTCTCTACTTTCAGCTTAGTCATAGAATTGAGAGCCAGCTTAGTCATAGAACTGAAACAGCAGAAGTGTTTTCTGTTTTTCCACTATATAACCTCTAGGTGGCACTGTGGTATAACAAAAGAAAGCAAATACACAAGAGACAGCTGCGTTTTCTTTCATCATCATCATCATCATCATCATCATCATCAATAATAATAATTATTATTATTATTGCATTTATTGCCCAACGCTTTTCCTCTTGCAAGGAAACCAAGGTGTTTAGCTCTATTTTGCCCTCACAACTGTGTGAAATAGGTTGTGCTGAGCTTCATGGCTAAGCGGGGCTAGAGCTTGGATTTCACAGCTCCCCAGTCCAATTCTCGAACACCACATGACATAATATAATGCTGCACTTTCCCTGCTCTAAAAGGATTCCCTGAAAATGCTGGTGGACACAGAAGTAAACCTGGAGGGATAAAACATTGCCTAAAGAACCCATGAAAAGCCATGGCTAGAGAACAGAGAGTGCACAATAAACAGAGAGGGAGGGAGGGAGAGCACTCAGGTGAGGGAACTCAAACTAGCCCAAAATGGAGTGAACATGCTCATTGGCTACAGAATGCTGACTAGAAGGAATGGAGTATCACAGCAAAAGGTATGGCTGGTACCCTGGTTGACTGGTACACTGCAACATTTCTTTTTTGCTGTACCGACTAGTAGTTAACCTATTGCACATAAGCAAATTGCCACTGTAGAGTGTAATAAGCGGAATGCCCCCGTTTCCGGCTCTACCTCAATTAAATCCCGGTAAAGGACATTTATTTTCTCAGGGAAGGTTTCTTTCCTGCATTATCTCCATTTTCAAATTATGCAGAGAGCAGATGTTTTATGAATAGAAATGAGCACACTGGAGGAGACATCAAAGACAAACCAGCTTTAATAAAGAGCCATAAAACAAAATGGAGAGGCCAACAAATTAAGCAAATTAGTCATTATAATATGGTCTGCCCAGTCTTCCTCTGAAATGAAATTAACCATTTGGCTAAGTTCATTTGTTGGCGTTGCTGAGGGATCAGGATGCAATTAGATATGTTTGCTTGTTGTTCTTGCAGCATAAACACTCAAGCCATGATGAGATATAAATCCTTTGAAGTCAATCTATCTTCACCTCACTACACAGAAAAGGCCTGCTATGAACTATAGAACATCATATCTTCCCTCTGTTGTCACGATCTAAGCGCTGATCTGGAACACGCTTGCCTGGGAGTAAGTCTCATGGACCACAGGGCCACAGTAAGCCTAGTTTCCATTCTGATGCGTGGTTTCATAACATCCATTCTGATGCATTGTCTTAGTGCGCCCCATGCAGGGATGTCCTTGAAAATGCTTCAGAAACTTCAGCACATGCAAAATAAAGCAGCCAGAATTCTGGAGCAATTGTTGCAAAGGAGTCATATATTACACCAGTTCTTAAGGAATTATGCTGCTCCTCCATTTGCTGTTGGGCCTAATTCAAGATGCTGGTTGTCACCTTTCATGAGAGTTTGCCAAGGCACTATAATTCTCTGAGGAGGTCATTGGAAAACAGACATTCTGTATCTACAAAGGAGAGCACCTTCTCTTGGGTGTCACCCTGGCTCTAGAAGGCCCTCCCAGAGGAGACCTGGCTGGTGCCAACTTTGTTTTTATTTAGCACCAAGTTGAAATGGGCGGTTTTGCCCAGGCTTTTAAGCTGTATATGTATAATCGGAGGTGGGGGAGAGTGTTCAATTTATGTAACTTTTAAATTGAACTGATTGCTATTTATTTTGCTGGGTGAAGCAATATTATTGTTCACTTTGCTTTTTAGTGTGCAATTGAATTTTTTTTAAGTTGTCTTGTCCATTTTTAATGTTGTGTACAGCACCCTGAGATCCTGTGGATGAAGGTGTTTTATGAATTTTACAAATAAAATAAAATAGTAGGATTGTTTTTTTCAGTAAACACAGATATGTTTATACTACAGTCATATGCACACTTACCTGTGAGTAAGCAAAGAACTATACAATTATGCTGCTAGGCTGCATAAAGAAGAAAGCTGTCAGGAAGAAAACGGATGCATGGAAAACATGGTGCTGGAGGACAGCTTAGTGAATACCTGCACTGAAAGAAAAACAAGCAAGTAGGTCCTAGATTCCTAGATCAAATCAAGTCCTTTTCCTGGAAGCAGAAATGACTTTCATACTTTGGCGTGTCATGAGAAGGCAAGACTGAGCAGGGCTTTGAAGAAATGAACAGTTCCTACAGAAATGCTGTCAGAACTCCTCCTGCAACTATTGTTTTGGTTTGACATTTAAGTGTCTCCAGGACAGGTCCAATTTGTTCCACGCTGCTCACAAAACTGGTTTAGCTTCATATGACAGATTTGTTTTATTGTGCTGAGCCTCTTTGGCAGCTCTGCTATGTGCCTGGGTACACAGTTGTTTCCCCCGAAGCAGATGATTATTGTTTGCCAGCTTTTAGGGAAAGGAAAGTCTCTTCCTCCTAGGTCTGGTCCTGTCAGAACTTCCCAGATGCATCAGTCAAGGGTCTCAGAGTCCTGTGGTCTTTGGCATCTGATCCTGTCATTCAGGTGCTATATTCAAACAGTTACTTTCTAGGAGGAGAGATTGTGGCACTTCAGCTTACTGGGAATCTTGCTTTGTGACCCTCTCATTCATTTATTCCAATTATGTCCTGAATTCCTTCACAGAGTGAAAATATATGATTCTCTCTCACACCTCCCTTTTCAGTTGCACAACAGACCTGCAAGGTAGGTTATCTCTGAGAAACAGTAACTGATCCAAGGCCACCCATAGTTAAGTGGGATTTTGCACTTCAGCCTGACACTAAGTGCTTTCCCATGCCTGACCCTGGATGTTCCTGATCTGGGTGTTCTTTTTTTTCATCTCTTTCAGCTTGGGAGAGGAATTCCCTTGCAGAGAAACTCTTTGGCACTGAATGTCAGGGCTGAGCAGAAGTAGAAGGGGCAGGGCTGAAAGGCAAATGGGTGGAGCTAAAAATACCACCATGTAAGACTTTAAAGCTCTTACTGCCAGTAATTAAAGCTCTTACTGCCTTAGGAAAAGAATTCCAATTTTTTAGAATTCAGGGGGAGGGCCGGGAGGCACTGCCCAGATGCTGGGAAACCCCCAAGCAATCAGTAGTTTCCAGAGGGGCCACTGAAAGGGGACCCTGGAGGACTGGCTTGGGGCCCGTGGCTGGAGGTTCTGCACCCTCATTTCAGTATTGAAGGGAGAACTCTTTGCACATACTCAGAGGAACCCTTCTTTATCATTATTTCACAGGTTTCAGGGCTGAACACAGCAGAATCCAACCTGGTGCCCTTTGTATGTGTCAGACTACAACTCCCATTCCATTCCTGATCTTGGGTCATGCTGGTGGGGCCTGATGGGAATTGGCATCTAACCATCTGGAAGGCACTAAGCTGGGGAAGGCTGGCATAGGCAGTAAGAGAGGAAAGGGTACAAATGCCCTCCTATAGACACTAACTTTCTCCCATCAGTGCTCTCATTGTTGGCCCCCTCTGGTTCCTTGCCAGAAAAAAATCTTTTAACATGCTTAGGGTATGTTCTTTATTATCATCAATAAAAATACATAAACAGAAGCTGTTCTTCATAGGCTGACTTCTCTCTGCTGGTGATGGGCCTGCAGTGGAGAAAAGAACACTGGGTCTGGAAGGGAGCAGGTAGGTCCTCTCCTGAGCCACAGACTTTTAGAATGGGGCAGGCAGGAACTATGCAAATCCGGGAAAGAACTAAGCAACCTGCAGATCCATGAGAAGGGAGTGTGGCTTTCTGGGGAAGGCTGGAAGGCTGCGTTTGGCTCACGGCCCGAGGTTCCTTATCAGTGCAACTGGCATCAGCATTAGAGGTGACTGGAAAAGAGGAGAAGTGGCCTCTCTCACACACACTTCTAAATGGCAAAAGTAAGAAGTTTTCCAGTGTCATTCATAATCCAGTCAGGGGAACACCTTAGCCAGCACCTGTACTTTAGAAGTGAACCATACAAATCAACAAAAGCCTATATACCTATGTGTGCTTACTTGACAGAAACAAGGGATTTACTTGGGAAATATATATATATATATATATATATATATATATATATATAGGATGGCGTATTGTGAGAAACACCTTTATGTTGCACAGAGTAATCTAACATTCCTCATGAAAGTATCTGCATGTTACTCCCCCTCCCCATATTTTGTCTTTTTTATGCTGAAAAACGTGTATGACTAGGAGGGATTTTGGCTGAAGTATATGGGATAACACCAGGACTTTGTGCCTGGTACGGCTGCACTCATTTTGTATGCCTCTCTGAGAACACATGCATGTTTTAGCTTGCATTCCTTATTAATGCCACAGAGTGTCAGTATTAATATTTCAAGGGCAGCTGCTTTGGGTCCGTCGGGCTCCTGGATACTTACGCAGTTGTCTTTCTCAACCAAGGCAGCAGCAAAGCTTGTTAACTGGGACCATCTGGTTGCATTTGTCTGTGAAGCTATGCCAAGTTTAGGCTCGTTTCAGATCCTGATCCCCAGCAACATCACCCATATACCTAGAGACCCTCTTCTATCAATCTCACTGTTTCCAAAGGGCAAAGTTGTCTTAATATGCTGCACAACTCTAAAAGGAGATTCATGTATCATCATTGCACCTACATCAAGAAAATGGCCTGTGTCAGACAAGTTCCTGAATTAAATAATAGTCTGTTTTGGGGAGGAGAGGCCACCTTTTAATCTGATGACAGCTATTCCACTTGGATTTAAAGGGAAAAGCTTAATGATTCCAAATGGCTACTGTGGGAAGGACACTTATCTAATGCCCCCTGTCTTGGACTTAAGCTTACACACAGGCATAGCACTGGAGGAAGCGGATGGTGGACGAAGGGGAAGAACAGTGTTCAAGGGGACCAGAGGCCATCAGAGATGGAAGATGGTCACACAAGCCACAGAAGCTCTGTCCTTCAGATGCTGGACTATGTTGCAGAAGTTGCCTGAGCATTTAAAACAATTGCTTTCTGCTTTAAAAAGAAAGCTGAGATCCCTGGCTTTCGCAACGGTTGTCTATCAAATTCTGGAGGACTGCTTGGACACAGCAATGAAAATATTTGGTGTTCTAACTGTGCTGCTCGTTGAAAAAGAATAATCTTTCAGACACACTCCATGTCAGGTGAAAGGGTTATGTTTTTCACATGCATATGGGCCTTTAGAGGGTAAGGAATGAAACCTTTTTCTTGTCTGGCTCTTTGAACTATAAAAGAACATCGAAAACGACTATCTTCTATCAAGTCAAACCAGTGGTCCATTTAGTTCAATAATGTTCATGGCAGCCTTCTCCAACCTGGTACTCTCCAGATGTCTTGAACTACGTCTTCTGGCATTTTCAACAGTTGACATGCTGGCCGGGGCTGATGGGAGCTGAAGGCCAAAACATCTGGAGGGTATCAGGCTGAAGGAGTCTGCTCTGCACGCATTGGTGGGGGTTCACCAGCACCTCAGAATGGAATTCTTCCCAGCCTTAACTGGAAATACTGCGAAATAAACCTCTGCAGGTAAAGCATGTGTCCCACAGTCCTTCCTCTTAAGGTCTCCGTGCTAAACCTCTTTGGAGCACCCATAGACTTAGAACTGGAGCTGTGTGTGCTTTCTTCATGGCAGATCTCAGCGCTGAAAACACATCAACCGGTTTAACAAGGGAATGGTCTTTTCAGTTGGAAATCCTGCAAGGAAAACAACAAGGCTGTATGTAGATCTGTTGCAGACATGTGTGTCCTGTCCTTTTTCTTTGAACCTGGGTTTGTCAGCATCTCTGGAAGGTTAGCCATTGTACTAATAGAATCTCAGTTGGTCAGTTCCTTTAATCTTTGTGTTCATTCTAATTAATGACTCCATTCTTCACTAGAAACCTTGAAACAGATTGCTGGCTATTGGTAATCTAGCCTATCCAGGATTGTTATATCGTTACAGATCAAAGGACCCTTTTACTTAATAAAGGCAGTAGAGTTGCCAAGCTAAAGTACTTGGATCATTTGCCTGCCAATTTTGTTTCCAGGGATACTAGCCATGCATGTGACTACCAAGTGCAGGCGCCTTCCTGTGTTTTGTATTCAGTTGTAACAGCTAAGTTGAAAGTGAATTTTCAATCCAGTAATGTCTGTTTTTATTGTATTTTAATATACTTTTTTGTTTTAATTAATTTTAATTATGCCTGTAAGCTGCTGCCTTGGTAAAAAGTGGGGAATGAATGAATGAATGAATGGCTATAGCATATTCCCTTGCTCTTAGATATTGCATTTGATAAAGGTAGCCCTGGGTCTTTCAAACTGCATTCAAGGGAGCAGTGAAATTTCTCAGCAAGACCAGTTAAGGCAGGCAATCTTCCTTGAAATAAGAGATGTATTTCCCTAACCCCATGTCTAGCTTTGCCTACCTTCCCATTTACAAAGGAACCCTTCCTCTGACCGCTGTCAGAAGCAAGTGTTAGCAAAAAGGAGCTGGGGATTTATTTTCCACCTTCCCCAACACCTAGTATCAGGAATGGATGGAAAAGCTGGGGACACCAGGACCTGTGCAGTGGAGGAATACTTAAAACACTGAAGGTGTTGCTGTGAAGGGAGAAAGGGGGCCCCTATCTGCTTTTGCAAGCAAAGGTAACTCCTGATTTTGCTTTGACTTGGTAACTCGCCTTTTGACAGCTGTCAGGAGAAAGCAAAGGAAAAAAATAATTTGGAGCCCCTGTGGGTCAATGTCCAAGTTGCTACCTGCTGCACATTTAAAGCAGGTACACTACAACACATCAAAGGTCAAAACTTTTGGATCTGTGAAATTCTGCATCTCTGCAGTTGCACATGTCTAACTAAAATAATTATTTTTATTGGGAATAATTGTGCATCCTGGAACGAAAAACAACTGAAAAAAGAGGTGGCCAACCAGTGGCAGTGCCTCTAATTTGTCACTTGGCACTCTGGAGGGGCTGTCACTGGTAGCAGCATGGGTGAATCAAGAGTGGCAATGGAGGGGTATTTTTGCCATTCCTGGCAAGTGCCTAACTCGCTGCTTCCCTTAACCCATGGTAGAAGTGGCTGCCCAGGTTCATATGACATGACAGCCCATCGTGGGTTGAGCAACTGCTAGAACAGCCCATTGGTCTCTCAGTGGCTAGACAAATAAATAAGTAAACACAAGTCACCCCACAGGAGGTTGCCTGGGTTCAGATGACACAACAATCCACTGTGGTCAGTTACCTATCATGGGCTGTCATGTCATGAAAACCAGATCAGTGACAAGGAAATCTTCAGTGGAAATGCCAAGTGGTGGAAAATAAGAATAGGTGAACATGTACCCATTTCCAAGAAGATAGAATGTGCCTGCTCTAGTGTAGTTACACCAGAACAACCACACCTGGCAATTAGTCATACAATCCTCTCATATCTTTTGAGAAGTCCCATTTCGTTCAATTGGGCCGAAACCGCTTCTAGAGAAAGCTTTTATTGTGCAATTGCCCTGTCTTGTTCACAGAAAAGATGGAATAGCTGCACAAATGCCTTTTGACTGGTAGTATGAAAAGCTCTCTGTCTGGAAGCATCCCTATTCCCAAGTAAGTGTGGATAAGATTGCAGCTTTAGGTATCCTGCTGGCTACCTCAGACAAAACACACAGCAAATGTGTTGACACCTTTATAAGACCAACAGTTGTCACAAATACTGGAAGCAAGATTTTAGTCACACAAGATTTTTTTCCAGGCATGGGCATCCAAATGAGAAATAGAGGATACTATATATCTGGACTGTTGCTAAACCAATAAAGTGGAGTTTTCTCCAAAGCAAAAGAGTTACCAAATAGGTCAGATGGATTGTAAATCATGTTACATTACATCCTGAAACAAGATAATAATAATAATAATGTTCAACAACCTCTAAGAAGAAATTTAGCTAGAAAATATAATGTATCTATATTCTGCAAAGAAATGTAGTCACTCTGGCATGGAAGGATGTAGGCTAATGTCATCTCATTAACATTTTAGTCTGTGGCTTGATAGATGTTCTGACATAAGCTATTTATTAGGATTGAGAGCTTTCTTCTTACAATATTTCAAAGCTGATTAGTTAAAGCAAATGCTCACACCCCCTCCCTTAATTATTTGTAGACTCGAACACTTGGTTTTGTATCAAAGTTTCCCATGGTTCTTTTAATGCCACACCCAAAAGGTTTTGACAGCTGCCTGAATGGGAAACAGAACAGCATCATGGAATTTGTGCTTTGGCACAGTTTCATAGAATCCTAGAATCCTAGTAGAATTGGTAGGGGCCATGAAGGCCAGCCCCCTGCTGTGCAGGTCACCAAGTTACACGATCCCACTCAGATGGCTGTCCAGTTTCTTTCTCAATGTTTGTGAGTGTGCATGAGCATGCATGTTTGTGAGTGTGCATGTATTTGTTGAAGGTGGGTGTGTAGGACAGCAGTATCAGATATGATGATGGAATCTTTTGTTTCTGTTCAGATTTTTTTTCTGTTAGCAAGGTCCATAAAGCATCCAACCTGGTGCCACTCAAATGTTCTGAAGTATAACTATTGCCCGTGCTTGCTGTGATTGATAGGAATTAAAGTCTCATATATCTGGAGAGTGCAAGGCTGGGGAAGACAGTCATCAAAACATAACTAATTTCCCCTCTTAATACCGAGTTCCTTGTTCATTGCTACTTTGCAACCTAACCAACCTCTAGCATGCTATGAATAGTTCCTTGCTGTGATTTTATGAAATATGAGCTCATTTGCTACGGTCGCTGTTCTTACCTTTATCTGAACTTATCAGGCTGCATATGGAGCTGATTTTCTAGAACGAAGGTGTCATTCAGATTTATATCAGGGGTTTAAATGTAGAAGTACAGAAAAATAAGCAGGCCTGATCTACAGACCAAAGACAACCTGCCATCAGTCTTTTATCAGCTGGTTGAAATGTGCTGCTGTAGGTTCTGAGGCGACAATTGAAGTAAAGGTGTACAATTATAATGTAGTGGAATGACAATACACGGGAAATTAAGTGGGTCAGTTAGCTCCGAGTGAAAGTCTACAAGGAAAAGCATCCAACGTCATGGCATTGGTAGAGGAAGGACCAGCCACTTCAGGTAATCCCACAGAGAAAGAATGGCTATTAACTTTTTCCTAGCCCTTTCCAAACCACGCACACCAGCCAGAAGACCTTCTCCCTTTCTTTCTACTAACACTTTCTCCTGCAGCTGTTTTCCACCTAGCAGAATTGAATTTACCCAACCTGGGACCATCAAACAATATCCAAATCAATTGCCTCTTGCTGCTTCAGAATATCACTAAGCAATTACAAATGCTATGACCTTTGACGGTAGCAAAATGAGGTCTCTGACCTACTTCAATGACCATATGGCAGCACAATCTTTAGAAGCATTTCTCCACACATGCCGACTAGCTGTATGCCAAGAATAAGGGCATGATATGCACACTGGCTAAGCTGGCCAAGGAGTTACTTCAGAACTTAGCACCTGTGCCAAATTCTTTTCAATAGTTCTATTCATGACTTGGATGAGGGCCTCTTGCTGGCAATCTTACATTTTTCTTCTCTTCTTTGATCAGTTTCAGGTACAGATTTGTTGCCAGTGCTTTTGTTATCACTGGGCATGAACATTAATCTGGAAAAAGATACACCTTAGTTGTCCATCTGTTGATGGTTCACAGTGCACTTAATTAGGTGTTGGTCAATTTCCATTGTCTGCATTTGTTATCTACCTGCTCCATTATTTCCTCCACAATCTTCCTTCCCATTAGTGTGCATTAGTGATGCTAATGAGTGGCCTTTGAACAACTGTAATAAAACAAACAAACAAACTTCTGTGAAACTGCTAAAGTAGGGGAAACCTCCAATTTTGTGAACTAGCAAGGTTAGGGAAAGCCTTGCCACTTTTACTAGCTGTATTGTTGTTTTCTTCCCAAAAGGACAAGTAATGTGTATTTGCATACATCAATGTTTGTGCTTTAATTGAATTGTTTACTAAAAATAAGGATACAGGCATCAGTGAGATTGATGCAGCTTCCCCCAATGTTGTCAGTTGCACCCACGTTATGAGTGGTAGAGATGGATTAGAAAATTGTCAGGTGTCAGGAGACATTAAAAAAGGAGTTAAGTAATAGAGATGTGCCCTGCTACTCTGTTTGTTAATAACAATAAAGAAGGCCTCTTTATGGAGAACTTAGAATGTGAAGCAGTATTGACTATATGAAAACTATCTGAGGATTGAAAAAACAAGAGGGAGGACTAAAACATGATCAGATGGATGATACAAAATGCAAGAAAACTGGTAATATATCTACCTTCTTCTGAGATCATAAATTGTTTCTTAAAATTCGTACAATTATAACTGTATCTGCCTTTCACATGTGCATACCAATAGTTTTTGGGTGAGACACAAAGGAGCCTTTGAACGTCATTTGTGGAATCAGTGCTATTAGATTCTGCCCTACATAAGGGTTATGTAAACCTAATACTAGGTTTCATTCAAATCAGAATGGTTAACTGTTCAGCATCTCTCGTGTTAATCCCCATCCCAACCCCTAGTCTCTTATGCCAGCTACTAGGTATATAGTATTCTAACAGAATTGCTGGCAGCAGTGGAAAAGGGTCATCTTATGGAATTCTGAGTTACATTAGCAGAAAATTCCTTAGACCCAGAAATATATTTATCGATTATCCTGCATTTCCATAGATGAGAGCTATAGTTGGCAAAGGAAATCCACCATAATATGGCACATGGCAGTAATCATAAAACCCCCCAATTAATTATGAAAATTGCGAAGTACCAAATCCAGCTATACCCGTTTTGTGAAATACAATTTCAAAATGCCTTAGAAGGGACAAGACCCACAGTACAGACACGCATTTTGTTGCGGATTGGTTGAATAAGCTTTAAGGGAAAGTCTGATAAATGTTTTTCAGTGTGTGTGTGTGTGTGTGTGTGTGTGTGTGTGTGTGTGTAAGGGGGGTGATTGAAGAGCAAGACTAGTTCAGGGATTCTGGAATCAACAGGTAGACTTTTGCCAGAAGGCAGTACCAGACCCGAAAATTCTTTATGAGCTGATCAGAATTGGTTACCTAAAGCAGGCAAGATTGCTTTACTCTGAAAGGATAAAGCGCATGACTACGTACTGTGCATGTGTGTGGAGTAGTACAGGGAGTGTGGCTTCAGAAAAGGATCTTTCACTTGCACAAACTTGCAGTGTTAAAAAAATACACCCATTCGTTTTTCTTTTGTACTACTGTTATTTCTTGTTACTATTTGTTTTTCCTACTATGCTTTCTATTGTTCTAGTCTAAAAATATGCTTTTATGTTCCTCATGTTTAATGTTTACTGCAAATCTCCTAAAGAACTGTGTTATGGGGTAGCATATAAATTCTGTAAGTACAGTAACTGACAGCTCCTCCCATCCTCAAGATACCCTCACAATATTGTCAAACATTCTGAATGCTGTAAAGGTCAGTTTGTCCATCTGGACTCTCATGCCAACAGAGAACAAAAAGGACCCCATGCTGTTAGCCAGAAGAAAGAGAAGGGCTGAATTTCATATAGTGAGTCAGTTATTCATAAAGTTTGATTGTGCATTTCTAGAAATAGCAGATAGAAACCAGGAGTGAGACATGTATCAGGAATAGTTGAAATCTTGGTAATATGAGAATGTCTAGAGAATATCAAATAGTAAATGAAATGTAATCACTTTCTGTTCCTGCATCCTCTTTCCCATATACAAAAACCTATTTATTTCTATACAGCCCAATACCTGAGGCTTTCTGGGTGGTTAACAAAAGTTTCATGCTTGAAGCACTGGATGCAAGCTAATGCAAAACATAAAAGGAACTACACACATAAGGGTTTTCGAGTAAAATTATTTTACTCTAAGCTCAGAGTGCTCTTTCCATCAATATGATATACTCCAATACAAGAGACATACATACCCAGAAGGACAATACCATTTCCTCCATAATCTGTTTCTCAAATGAGAAGTAAGTAGCCTTCAGTAAAGTCTGGCTTACATAAAACAGTAATTAGATTAGTGGTTGTCATAATAGATAGCATTGTTTACTAACTACAACTTTAGCTTTCCTGTCATCTGATGCACTTGCTGAAGGGTAGGGAGGGGAAGCAGAGCACTACTGTTCCCTCACTGCAATTTATTTTTAGCTATGATATATATCAACTTGCTCATCCAAGGAATCCTGATGGATTAAGTAAGGGTAGCCTTGTAAAATGTCATGTCTGAGCTTATGCATGCAGGAGGCAGGGGGACAATTTCTGTTTGTCCAGAGCAGAATAGAGACCTCCTCATATGTGCCGGAAACTTTTTAAGTGACAGGCAACTTCTAAAGGTGACCCTTTATGGAGATTGGGAAGCCAGAGACTAGTAGGTAAAGCTTGTCTAGTATTCAGTTTTGCTTCAGGCACACAGCAAAGTATGAAGACTAATTACTTGCATATCCTAGGAAAATAACTGAAAAACAGACTTGAACTAGCTTCATCAAATTAAGGCTACAATCCCAAGCACAGATACTTTGGAGTAGAAATACATCTTAATGCAGTAGGTCTAGCTTGCTTTGCAGCAAGCTTACCTTAGTTACATTAAATATTTGGGAATTATACAGAACATTGTTCTGTGAACTAGGACCTGTCTAACAATCACATAAAGCTATTAAAGGAGACTTAGAAAAATTAGAAGCCTTCTGGCATTTTGGTGCTCAGCAAGTTTACAGCAAGTTAACCAATGAGTAACTATTTTTCTACTCCATTTTCCTTCTGGAAAGTAAACAGGAAATTTAGATTAATTTAAACAATGTAACAACAAACACTATTGAAGTTTGCTCTACACTGTATTTGAAATGTAGTGATATTCAGTTTGCACAGAGGAAAAATATGGTCATTTTATATTTACAGTAAGAACATAAATGAAATGGGACAGGCTTTCCTAGTAAAGGAATTAGCCAGGAAGCAGCAATATGGGAGCTCTTTAAGAAACAAACCAGTGTGTATTTTTTCCCTTAAAATGTGTCATAGCTCCACTATGGTTAAATTGTAATACTATTCTATAGATTTAGTACATCTATGGGTGTCCCATTTTTAAAAATGACATCTTTTCAGAATTTTGTTCTAGATATTGGCTCTAAGGAAAATATGTGGAGACAATTTTTACCACTGTGTCAGTTGTGTACACATGCACCTCATCTTAATTTCTCTGATGGGAACAGTGAAGTCTGGTGACTTGTATATCAGTGGGGTTCCTCACCCATTGCAGCTTTTATTCTGAGCTTGATAGAGGTTCATGGTGGTGAACCTATTTTGGTGAGAGTTTAGCATCATGGTTAGCCTCTATGAAGCACAAAATTTAAGTCACAATGGAAAAGGAGCCAAGTTGACACATGAGTCACCAACCTTCCCTGCATGGGAGCCATTGCCCTGAGAAAGTTAATTGTACTGACATGGTTTTAAAACTGAAACAACACTAAAACTACGTATTTGGTTGGGAAATTATGGAGTTTTAATGGTGCAGCAGCAGCAATGGATCTGAAATGTATCAGGCAAAAGCATGTGTCTAATTGGATGGGAAAGTCAGAAAACTGCTCCAAACATTCATCAATATAGTTAAACAGCACAGTCTGATCTAGATTAATAGTTGTCCCAACAGACATTAGTTCTTCTGGGCATTATAAAGAAAGTGGGGACAATGATTTTATCTAATAAATGGAAGATAATTTGCAAACAGAGTTTGTGCGATAGGACACATTCCTCTTACAGCGAATTTGAAGAAAAAAAAAAGAGAATGGAGGAAGCTGAATCAGTGGAGAGAGCAAAAATGATAAAAAAGTATAGTCCATTACTGTCCGTTCACTCTGACACCACTCATTTATTCCAGCTACAAGGCAGGTTGAGCCAGGACACTGTCACTGAATATTTGTAATTCTACACATTTATTTTTCCAATAGTGGATAGAAAACTTCTGGTCAGAGTTAACACATTACCAGACTCACTTCAACAAATGAGAGATAAAATTTCAATGAATCCTACAGAACTCTACAGAATGAATGTCTGTATAATAGATTGTTTTATTGAAGGTTACTAAAAGATATTTGTTCTTAGATAATATCATGTCATGTTCAGAAAGTAACAATACCATTTCACTGCATACATATTTTTGGAGTCTTTCTTAAAAGCCAATATATGTTCATCATTAATTTTACAAAGTTAGCTCCTCAAGTGCTGAACATATAGGACCAGGACCCATTGTGTTTAGTTAATACTAGTACCAAACCAAAATGAGACATTGACATGTTCTATACATTCACAAATACAAGTCTGGATAATGTACAGGAAAGTCTGGTTAATGTAAGTATTTAAATCTATTAAATCAAAAAGGGATATAGCCTAACCAATGAGTTTCAGTCATACTCTGTGTATAAAGGCAATGAACACTAAATTGCTCAATGCTGTGATTAACACAAGAATGAAAATTCAGTTGGGATCTGAAAAAAGTATAGACATAATTACTTTTGTTGCACATAGAGGAAAAATCACCATTCTTGTCAGGGTTTCAAATACCCTAGGATTTCCATGTCAATTTTTGCAGAGAGAGTAGTATATAAAGTAGGAAAATACCTTCTATCAAGCAATTACCTATTTTCTGATACTTGCGTTTCAGTATTTGTTACATTACAGACAAATATAATTACTTGTGAACAGAAAGCAGCAAAGGGAGTATTACTGCTAAGAAACTTAAGTGCTACAACCTATACAATGAAGTGTTCACTACAGGAGTATTCTTGAAATAGCATTCCTTCATTAATTTCAGAAAATGTATGCATATTGTCAAGAACACCGTCATTCTTTTGAAAGTGTCAACTCAAAATTTGGGTTCATATGTAATATGTCCACTGGAGGTTTTTCTTAAAAGTGGAATGTTTAAATAGAGAAGCACAAAAGATTTTGACATTTATCCAGATGGGGTTCATATCTAGACAAGAGCTAGTGGAAGATAGTAAGCTATGATTGAAAACTTGCTTAATATCAATTCAAGAACAGATAAAAACCCATCAGATATAAGCAGTAAGACAATCTATCTTGTTTTACATTTAAGAAGCCTTTCAATTTTACACAATGTTTAAGAACATTCAACTGTGGTTGCCAATAAGTCTTTTTCCTAACTTTGCCTGACAATCCCAGATAAGTATTGCATATAGAAGAGATACAAAGCTCTGAGGTGAGGCATGCAATTTTAGGGGAAGATTTTGAATGTAGGCAACCACAGCAGTAGTGAAATTCTGAAGGAGGTATTAGTTGATGCTGTAGCACCATTAAAAGGATTACGCATACAGCATGCAGACTTTTCTTCATTACTTTACCTATTTAAAAATCTTAATACATTTTCTTCAACAGTCATCATGGCAACCAAGCTAAATGGATATATTTTTGCTTTTTCATACGTAACACATCCAGAGAACAAGACTGAATTTTAATTGAAAATACAACAGATGTGACTGCACTGTTACAAAGTCACTATTAATCTGGGTTCAACACAAGACCAGACTTATGACTAGAAAGAGGTTTGGTACAAGGCAGGATTGTTCCTTGCAAAAAGGGTAAGATTTTGCAAGACAATCTGATTGAAGAGAAGGTCAAGTTCAAAAAAGGTAGAATCACAGCTTCATAATGCAAGCCAAAGGTTTTTTGCATTTCTTCTGCTAGTAAACTAATCTTCCCATCATTTATTGTCCTTTGAACTGTGCAAAATAAAATAAGTCATTTGTTGCAAAATTTTATTCCATTTCTAATACTTCTGGGCAAGCTTGAGATATATATGGCTTTGAGAATACAGTGGTACTCTAGGTATGTATTTTAATGAAGGTATGATCACCTAAGGGGAAATAGCTATGTACTTTATCAAGACATTGTCTAACTTGTTAAAAAATCCCTCCCTTTTCTGAAAGGAAATGCCACTGCTACTTTTCAGATATAAAAGTCATCAGCCCTGTTCAAATTCAGTTGTATAACCATTACTATCCAATGTTTCATATACTTATTTGGTTACCTACCTATACAGATATTTACAAGTGACAAAACACACAATTTCTTCTTCTTTTGCCCTGCAGGACATCGCACTCATGCATATGAAGTGTTTACTTCCCAAATTACAAGCAAATAGATTAGTGCAAGGTTGTTCTGCTTGACCTGTAGATTAAATTAGTTCATTTTTCCTTTGACCATTGTCTCTTATGTTTTGCAAATTAGACTTGTTCCAAGTGTAATTCCAATGACCAGACCAAACCAAACTGTGATACAATCAGTATTGGCCATTGTTCCATGAAAACTTAGGTTCACCACTTCAGTTTAAAATTTAGAACTCTTCATTTTGACAAGCACCTACAACATGGGAATTGAATTGCACTACTATAATTGTAATGTCATCCCTGTACATCCGTGCCAGCTCTTCTGGAAGACTAAGCATCTTGGACAGCCGTTCATGATCAACGGTACCAAACTCATTATTCCCCACAGCGTGGCGTATCAAGTGAGTTGCTGCATTCTGATCTTCAAAGGCAGAAGAAGCTCGGGCTCGCCTTTCCATCAGAAGACCATGCATCTGTCCTAAAGTTACCTTGTAACCTCCAACAGCTATTGGTTCTTGATGGTGTACACCTGTTAGATACTCACCTACAATTCTAACCACATCTTGCCTGTGCATGGTTTCCCACAAGCCATCTGTTGCTAGTATCAGGAATTTGTCCTGAGGTCTTAATTTGTGATGTATCACCTCAGGTTCAGCTGTGAGGTATGGAGGAGTATGATAGTTTGGTGGGATGAACTTCGTATATTCATTGTCATTCAGCTGATCTGGGCCTGACTCTATCACTCTCTTCTGCAATTCAATGCTCCATTTAAACTTGACATCGCCAAAAGCTCTGAAAGGCATCAGTAAGCCTAACAGCCGATCTTGTTTCACAACACTCTTTTCTTCAGACTTTGGGTGTTCCATTCTGAGCCTTTCAATCTCACTTTCATTCTGTGCATTATGGTCATAAGACAAAGCGACAGCAGACCAAGATCCATCCTCTTCTTGAACACCAAGCATGGCCCGGCTGTCACCAGTATTAGCGACATGCAAATCAACACCATCTACATGAGCCACACAGGCAGTTGCACCAGAAAAGGCTACACGTAGCACCAAACAGTTGAGGAAAGAATTTGGATCTCCCACTTGAGCTTCCAAAGAAATGTCATTGTCAAGCCTCTTAAAGGCATTAATTAAAGCCTCTTTTACATCAGTCGTCTCCCCTGTGTTGAGGTCTATGAGTTCCTGCCAGTATGTTCGTAAGCTGTTAAAATATAATTTGGAGGCTTCTTTATTGAAATAGTCATTGGGGTGCTTGTGCCACTGTAAGATTGGCAAAAGGGCTCTACCACTCTCAACAGCATTTTCTATTTCAAGTAATGTCTCATGGGGTAACAGAGAAACTGCAATATAATAAAACAGTCTTTCACTGACAGCTTGTGCACAGGCGCATCCCGCATGGCCGTCAAACACACCAAGAAGCATCCCTCTTGTTTGTAAGCAAGTGGCAGCACTTCTTCGGTCTTCTATCGGTGCATTTGCAGGAAGCTGATTGCTATCAAAACCAAGAACAGAACTTACATTTTTGCCATCAAATTCTGGCACTTTGAAACTGTATTCATTTGCCTTCAGGATGCTATTGACCTGTGGAGGTGTGAGGTAAAATCTCTGTGGCGTGGAGACATAACTCCTTGCTTGAGTGAACTGACTGAAGTTCTCCTTTGGTCTACAGAGCGTTGCAAGCTTCTTCTGTGGAACATAGCTCAAGTGCTTGTGAGTCAAATGAGGAGATAAGCAACACAGATGTTTGTGGTGACAATAACATGCAGTATTGTATATCCTGCCAATCTCACAGCTGCGTATTAATGGAAGCAATAGCTGAGTTGGTGCTGGCATGGCATCAGAGAACAATGGCAACCTGGAGCTTCTGACTGGAATTGCTGGAGGGTGGAGGGGAAACACAAAGGATACGTAGTCTTAGCAAGGATTTTACAGGAGAAGAAAAATAACCTAAGTATTTAAATCAAGACAACAAGTTAGCATGCATGGTCTTTGCCCACACAGCAATTAGTTGTAGAAAACAACGACACATTTCAAAGAGGTTTAACAGAATAATGTAGGGCCAAAATTCTTTAAAGAACATACATCCCAGTTCACATTCTTATACTTGTAGAGAACTGGAAACAGAGTGACCTATATTTAAAGCTCTACTTACTAAATTAACTGGAACTTTAAACTGGGAATGTGGAAGTCAAACTAGGCTTAAACACATGTAACAGAACCAAATCTGCTTGAGGACACCCTTCATCTCTAGACCAGTAGTGCAAAGGAATAGTTAGTTTGCCCTGTCCAAAACAATTATTTATGCTAATATATTTTAATATTTTTTCTTAGGCTACCACCCTTATATTTTGCAATCTTAAGGTAAGAGATATAGAGGTATACAGCTCAAGTCTACATATGTTTACTCAAGCATTAGGCTCCACAGAGTTCAGTGAGATTTAATAACAAGGGGGCAGAGCAGCCTTAATTTCATAAATATGCTATACTCTACCAGCAAACCTTATGAAGTGCTATAGATAAGATGAAGACTGCAGCTGACATCTAAAAGACAGAAAACTTAGAGAGATCATTCTAAACTCAGCCAGTAATTGACTGTGAGATGCGTGAAGTACTATCTTTCCTTCAAGGCTAGATGTTAACAAAGAACAGATTGTTTACTGCAATCACTATTTTGGGTTACTTCATTGCATATGCATACATTTAACAGTATGTAACAGCAGGAGCTCATGAATTCAGCTATCTTGTCCAGTATTAGCACAGTCAATAGCAACTTTTCAAGATCTGAGACAGGAATCTTTCCTGACACTTCTATCCCAAGATCTTTTTTGGCATTGCTAAGGACTGAGCAAAGGTTCTTCTCATACAGTGCATTTAATGTATTACTGATTTATGGCTTCCCCCAATTGAGCAATCTTCTACTTGATATTGTTGCTTTTTTCTGCCTGATTCTTTCTCAGTTTTTTGAGAAACCATTTCTTATTCTTCCTCAGAGCTGTTCCTACCATTAAACTAGGGGAAAATCAAAATTTCAGGATGCTGTTGAAATAAAGCAGTTGGACTATATTACGTTTTCATTATTGTGAGGGATAAAATATTTCTTCCTCAAGCAACAAAGATGTCTCAGGACAATTCTGTCCCAATATTTGCATCCATATTTGGCAAAGTTTCCCAGAAACATCCTGTCAGTCTTGACTGTTCAAGCTTCACTCAGTATTTTGGTGTCCCTGCCTCTTTCAGGATTCATAGATTTCTAATCATCCTTATTAAGCTTAGATGTGAAATATCTACCCTTCCTCCCTCCTTAAAAACACGAAATAGTAAAATAAAACAAAAAATGGTAAGTGCCAATGCTATTTTTTAAAATGTATATTTTCAAAGGATGCCAAGATGTAGTCACTACTGTTGCTTTCAAGTGGTTTGATGGTAGCTAGCAACTCCTTCATGGATCACTGCCTTGTCATGGCGAAGGGGCTTGCGTAGCTCAGTGAAGCTATGAGCTGTGCCGTGCAGGGCCACCCAAGACGGACATGTCATAGCAGAGAGCTCTGACAAAACGTGATCCACTGGAGAAGGAAATGGCAACCCACTCCAGTATCTTTGCCATGAAAACCCCATGGACAGTGCCAAAAGGCAAAAAGATATGATGCCAGAAGATGAGCCCCTCAGGTCAGAAGGTGTCCAATATGCTACTGGGGAAGAGCGGAGGGCTAGTACTAGAAGCGCCAGAAAGAATGAAGCCACTGGGTCAAAGCCGAAAGGACACTCAGCTGCTGATGTATCTGGTGGTGAAAGGAGAGTCTGATGCTGCAAAGATCTATACTCCATAGGAACCCAGAATGTAAGATCCATGAATCAAGGCAAGCTGGATGTGGTCAAACAAGAGATGACAAGATTGAACATTGACATCTTAGGAATCAGTGAACTAAAATGGACAGGAATGGGTGAATTTAATTCAGATGATCATCAGGTATACTACTGAGGGCAAGAATCCCTCAGAGGAAATGGAGTAGCCTTCATAGTCAATAAAAGAGTCGGAAAAGCTGTACTGGGATACAATCTCCAAAATGACAGAATGATCTCAGTGCGAATCCAAGGCAAACCATTCAACATCACAATAGTCCAAATCAATGCCCCAACCACTGGTGCTGAAGAGGCTGAAGTTGACCAGTTCTATGAAGGCCTACAACACCTTCTAGAATTAACACCCCCAAAAATGATGTCTTTATCATCATGGGGGATTAGAATGCTAAAGTAGGAAGCCAAAATATAACTGGAATAACAGGCAAGTTTGGCCTTGGAGTACAAAATGAAGCAGAGCACAGGCTGGTAGAATTTTGTCACGAGAATACATGGTCATAGCAAACACTCTTTTCCAACAACCCAAGAGATGACTCTACACATGGACATCACCAGACGGTCAACACAGAAATCAGATTGACTATATGCTCTGCAGCCAAAGATGGAGAAACTCTATACAGTCAGTAAAAACTAGACCAGGAGCTGACTGTGGCTCCGATCATGAGCTTCTCATTGCAAAATTTAGGCTTAAATTGAAGAAAGTAGGGAAAAGCACTAGGCCACTCAGGTATGACCTAAATCGTATTCCTGATGAATATACAGTGGAGGTGACAAATAGATTTAAGGAATTAGATCTGATAGACAGAGTGCCTGAAGAACTATGGATGGAGGTTCGCAACATTGTACAAGAGGTAGCAACTAAAACCATCCCAAAGAAAAAGAAATGCAAGAAAGCAAAATGGCTGACTGAGGAAGCTTTACAAATAGCTGAAGAAAGAAGGGAAGCAAAAGGCAAAGTGGAAAGAGAAAGATACACCCAATTGAATGCAGAATTCCAAAGAATAGCTAGAAGAGATAAGAATGCCTTCTTAAATGAACAGTGCAAAGAAATAGAAGAAAACAATAGAATAGAAGGACCAGAGCTCTCTTCAAGAAAATTGGAGATGTGAAGGGAATGTTTCATGCAAAGATGGGCATGATAAAGGACCAAAATGGCAGGGACCTAACAGAGGCAGAAGAGATTAAGAAGAGGTGGCAAAATTACACAGAAGAACTATACAAGAAAGAGCTTAACGTCCCTGATAACCACGATGGGGTGGTCACTGACCTCGAGCCAGACATCCTGGAATGTGAAGTCAAATGGGCCTTAGGAAGTCTGAGCAGCAACAAAGCTAGTGGAGGTGACAGCATTCCAGCTGAGCTATTCAAAAACTTAAAAGATGATGCAGTAAAAGTGCTACACTCAATATGCCAGCAAATTTGGAAAACTCAACAGTGGCCACAGGATTGGAAAAGGTCAGTTTACATTCCGATCCCAAAGAAGGGCAATGCCAAAGAATGTTCAAACTACCGCACCATTGCACTCATTTCACATGCTAGCAAAGTGATGCTCAAAATCCTACAAGCTAGGCTCCAGCATTTTGTGGACCGAGAACTACCAGAAGTATAGGCAGGATTTCAAAGAGGGAGAGGAACTAGAGATTAAATTGCCAACATACGCTGGATCATGGAGAAAGCTAGGGAGTTCCAGAAAAACATCTACTTCTGTTTCATTGACTATGCAAAAGTCTTTGTGTGGATCACAACAAATTGTGGTAAGTTCTTAAAGAGATGGGAGTACCTGACCATCTTATTTGTCTCTTGAGAAACCTATATGCGAGTCAAGAAGCAACAGTGAGAACTGGACACGAAACCACTGATTGGTTCAAAATTGAGAAAGAAGTTCGGCAAGGCTGTATATGCAGAGCACATCATGAGAAAGGCGGGACTAGATGAATCACCAGTTGGAATTAAGATTGCTGGGAGAAATATCAACAACCTCAGATATGCAGATAATACCACTCTCATGGCAGAAAGTGAAGAGGAACTAAAGAGCCTCTTGATGCGGGCGAAGGAGGAGAGTGCAAAAGTTGGCCTGAAACTCAACATTAAGAAAACTAAGATCATGGCATCCAGTCCTCTCACTTCCTGGCAAACAGATGGGAAGAAATGGAGGTAGTGACAGATTTTATTTTCCTGGGCTCCAAGATCACCACAGATGGGGACTGCAGCCAAGAAATTAAAAGACGCTTGCTCCTGGGGAGGAAAGCTATGGCAAATCTAGACAGCATACTAAAAAGCAGAGATATCACCCTGCCGACAAAAGTGCGTATAGTCAAGGCTATGGTTTTCCCAGTTGCAATGTATGGCTGTGAAAGCTGGACCTTAAGGAAGGCTGAGTGCTGAAGGATTGAGGCCTTTGAGTTGTGGTGCTGGAGGAGACTCCTGCGAGTCCCTTGGACTGCAAGGCGATCAAACCGGTCAGTCCTAGAGGAGATCAACCCTGACTGCTCTTTAGAAGGCCAGATCCTGAAGATGAAACTCAAATACTTTGGCCACCTAATGAGAAGGAAGGACTCCCTGGAGAAGAGCCTAATGCTGGGAACAATAGATGGCAAAAGAATAGTACGGCAGAGAATGAGGTGGCTAGATGGAGTCACTGAAGCAGTTGGTGTGAGCTTGCGTGGACTCCGGGGGATGGTGGAGGACAGGAAGGCCTGGAGGAATGTTGTCCATGGGGTCGCGATGGGTTGGGCAGGACTTCGTGACTAACAACAATCAACAACTGTCTACTAATACTTCTTTAAAAAGTAAACAAAATATAGGTTTACTCCTATTTTTTGCACTACAGTTAACCTATCCCAACCTTGCAAAGTGACAATATTGCATGCTACTACTTGAATGTGACAACCTAAAAGGTAGAAAGGAAGATTTGCCTCTTTCCACACTAATTCAATCCATAGCTCACTACCATCACTCAGGAATGGGAGTTGTGTTTCAAGCCTTAATAGCTGTGGCACTGTAAATGTAGGAAAACAGTCTGACTCTGCTGAAACTTCAACAGTTGCTCAATTTCCATTCATTTCCCTAGCTATTCTGATTCTGCCCTGCATTGTCTTCCAAGGCTGCTTTTCTATTTTAATCTGTAGTTCTGTCTATAGAAGACTCTCTGAAGGCCAGGGGACCACTAATTCATTTGCCACAGTCACCATGGTCAGTATTCCTCCCAGAGGAGTATGATGCTGAGCATCACAAAGATGAAGTCACTTCCAGCATAGTCAGATCTCACCCCTCCCTGATAGGGATGGAGTTAGTGTCAAGCAAAATTCAGCTGGCAACTAAGGCCAGTCTAACTTTGCAAACCTTTATTTAAGGCATTCAAAGAGCAGCAAAAGAAGCCAGCATCAGCAAAGAAACCACACAAATGAAGATCCACTAAGCATAGGCAGACTTAAAAAACTTGAATACAGCAAAGACAATTTACACAATTATGCATTATTCAAGTATGAGACACTTTGAGTCTGCCAGAAAAGTCCAAATAACATACATATTTTAAAAGTATGTTAGAGATTATCCAATGTGGCTTCTTACCTTGAAGAAATATGGTCATCCAACTAAGCATGTAAGGAACCTGCAAAAGACCTAGACAGCCCATTTCAGTCATCTATGTCTTTTGCCCTAACTGGCAAAGAGGAGGGGCTGAGGCACCAACCAGAATGCCTTATGTCCAGTCGTATCTCACTCTTCCCCTCCTCATCCCCCAGCAGTGGCTCCAAAGTTGCACTTACAAACTCAGCTGGCGCAGAAAGAGCTACGGTGACTGTGAGGGTACTCCATGGTTGGGATTCAAGCTCCAAACTCAGAATGCATTTCTAAGGTTAGAGCTTGGACTTTGACCTTTTCCATCTAGAAAGAATCTAGTGGTCACTGGATCATGCCCTTAAAGACTAAACAGGTTAAGCAATTTATTTTAAGCTTATTTGAGCCAGCCTTCCAACAGAGGATTCTAAAAGCTTCTAAGAAACAATACTGCATATAGGCTATGCTTAATAATGATCTGATTTTTGTAAAAATTCTCTATGAAATTTCCTAGATGCTTATAATGTGTGTAACCCAAGCATGCAGTTCAGTAGTCCATTTATACAAGTTAACATCTTGAATGCATTTGATATTTGAGAAGGAGAAAGGCTTTGTGTGTCTGTACTGTTTTAGATTTGCAACTCATCTTTGTAAGATTCAAATTCAAGCCAAACTGGTTCACAGTGAGCATGAACTAGTGGGACTGAGAAGCAAGTTAAAAGTGACAATTTTACCATTATTACTCGATACATACCCTCATTAACCCATTCCACCCCACTGCTAAATTCCTATTATTCCGAAAACAGGAGCACAAGGTATACATACCAATCCGCCTGGGCCCAGGACACACACACATTCTCCTGTCACAACAAGCCGCCAACATCCACAAAGCAGTAGCCCAGGAAAAGCAAGGCAGAGAGTTTATTAAAGAAGGAGGAAGAGGTCTCCAACATTGAAGGGGGACAGAAAAAGAGACAGAAAGACAAGCAGTTTGTTTGTAGTGACAAGCATCAAGAAGCAACAATTGCAGCACAGCCATCTTTTAGCAGCACTGTCTAATTCTACTGCAGTCCCAACTCACCACTCTCCATCCTTTCTGCTGCACAACATTGCACTCACTTCATGCAAGATTCATCTACTGTCAGCCAAACCTCAAGAGCAACAAGCACACCCATCTTTTTCAAGCAAAGCTGGAGAAATATGTGAAACTGCTAAGCAACAGCTTCAATTATTGGAAGACACCACCAGTTTATAAATACTAGCTCTCTATAGAGCAACGTACATCTTTTACATCTACAGATCAAGGTGCCCAGGATTTTTCCAGCTCTGCTGACTCAACAGGCACAAGTAAGCAACAGACAGGCAGCGGACTTCCACTCTTCTGACCTTTAAAACTACACACACATATTAAGAATATTTGTGAGCGAAACAAACAATATAGACCTTAATCCTCCTGAAAAATATGTGCGCTTATCATGGATAGGGAAAATGTGCATATCAAACAGAGATGGGGTGGATCCTCCTAGGTCAAGAGCAGTTAGTTACCAGCTCCCAATATTTCAACAAAGTGAATTCCCTGTAAGTGTCTTCCCATGTACTCCCAATTCATTAGATGTTTATATACATGTACAGGGCACTTCCAGCACATTGCATTCTGGGGAAATCAGTGTTGCTCAAATAATGAACTTCTGAGCCCTACAATCTATACATGCAAAGTTTTTATGGGAAGTATATCCCACCTCGTGCCAAGAACCTGGGCTGGTCCACTGCTAATTCTGGAACAGATGGGGGCAACTGCAAAACTAGAACGACCATATCAGCTGTTCAGTCTGCTATGATGGCTTTTTGCTTTCATCATACAGGCATCCTGACAGAGAATTAAGAGTCTCCCTTTCCCAGGAAGATCTATAATGCATCACAAGGCAAAAGATCTGGCCCTGAAGCAAATGCTCTGTGGATTAAGTTTAATTTCTCTCCTTAGGCTATGCAGCTGGAGAAATGACAATTAGAGATGCAACAAGTAATTTGTCAAGTTAAAGGGTTTTTTTTAATTAATGTAAGCATTTCTAAAAACTGCAGATGGCAAACAATCCCCTTCCTCTCTCACAAACCCTAAGATGAGGCTTGCTATTACACAAAGCTAAAAATAAAGAAGATATGTTTGTATCTCAAAATAATTTTTAATCTATCAGTTTAAAATTAGAATACTTGACCAAGTTTTCATTAGTAGCAGTTCTATGTCACCTAAGAACCGAAGAAGCCATTTTACAACTACTCGGATTACTGTGCCATCTAGTTCATTGCAAGCTTGCTTACATTGCAAGCAGCTCTCCAAGGTTTCAAGGAGCCCTTCCCAGTCCCTAAGAGGAGATTGAACCTGCAGCATTTCGCAAGTAAAGCAGATGCTCCAGTACCAAACCCTCCCCCGTGTTTACAAAACAAACTACAATTTAGGAGACTAGGGCTGCTCGCACCTACATTAAGACCGACAATGCACATTCCTGTTGTGTGTGCGCGCGGGAGGGGGGCGTTAAATGCAGATCTGCCTGCCCCCTATCCCAATACACTGCAGTTTGGCTTCTGCAGCCCCTCGCAAGTCCCTTTGCGTGCGCGGCTGTGCAGGGGCTCCCAACCGATCTCGTGGGCACAACTACGGCCTGCCCTACGGGAGGTGAAATGATGGGTGAACTTTGGGAATGGGGAGGATCTGGTTTTTACAGGAGTAAACAGGATCCCGAATCTTTTCCGCATCAAGAATCCTGGTTCCGTCCCGGGCATCATCGTCGCTCAGGAGGGAGGCAGCTGCAACAATAGCAGCAGCATCACCACCTCCGCCCACTCGGCGGCCGGTTATAGCCTCAGGCCCGGCAGAGGAAATCTCGCACATTTCGCGCTCTCTCCCTTTGCCCCAGACACGCGCTCCGTGACCCGTCGCCACACCCGCCCGAAGCTATGCCCGGCTTCTCCCCTGAGACACTGACCTGGTCAGATCGGGGAATGGGGAGGGAGGGGGGACGCCGCTCGGACAGCGGGAAACAGGAGAGCGGGGAAGCGGCTCTTCCTCGCTGCCTCTCTCGTCCCTCGGCGCCCGCCGCAGGAGGGAAAACCTCGCTTCCCCACGCCCTCTTCCCACCCACTATCCCGCCGCCGCCGCCGCCGCCGCCGCGGTTGGCAGCGAGCGAACCAGCGCGCGCGCCCGCCTCGGTCTTTCAGAGTGGCAACATCAACCAGCGAGCGCTCCGACGGCTTCCTTGTGTCGTGGGCGGGTATTTTTCTGACGCGCCCCGGATTATAAAGCCTCGGGTCGGCGGGGATTGGCTGAACGCGCGGATGGGTGGTTCGCGTCATCCATGCGCTTGCTTACTGACTCACCCCACATGTCCCACCTCTTCTCCGAGTATGTTCCCCCCGCCCTCTGCCGCTTTAACGGTTTTCTTACCGGCGGAAGGATCTCTCTTCCTCGTCCTCCGCCTATGCATAACGCTTCAGTCTTATTTGTTCCATTGTGGATGCTGCGGCCGCTTCTTTCTTTCTTTCTTTCTTAAAGGGCGGGAGCCAGTGCGGGAGAGAAAGAAGGTGGGCTTGCCAGCGCTGGTGTCCCACCGCTGCTAAGGGAACCCTCCGTCGGGTCACTTGCTCATTCGGTTTTTGGTTTACCCGAGCGCTTGCTAAGGCAGGCGAGTCCCGCATTCCTCCTGAGGAATTTGACGGAGAGGGGCATGTACCAATCAGATGGGTGTCCTTCTTTCTTCACCGCCCTCGGAGGTGTGTGCCTCCAGCAAGGTCATTTGCGACAACGCGGCCGTTCTTTTCCGGCCAAGTTCGTACACGGATACATACACTTCTATTGACCTTTCGATGTTGAGGGAACCTTCCTCAGCCCGATCCCTTTGGATGCGCTTGGCTGCAGTTCTCGGCACCCTCCCACCGGCATAGTAGGGAGTTGTAGTTGAACGAATCTAGAGGGCACCAGGTTGGGGAAGTAGGTGTGGCCCAGTCCATTGAGAGTGCAGGAACGTAACTCTAATAAAATAAGAGGGTTGCAGTCTTCAGTTAATATATTGGTTAGATAAACCAAAGAAAGCCGCCTGGGAGATTGGAAAACGTGCTTCTATTTACTCAGGCAACACATTTCTTATAGTGTACTTATAAAAATGGCAAATGACATTCACAAAAAGAGTGTGCATCTTTTCCTTTACAACTATGCACTTCTGTACAAACCCTGCTATTTGAATCAAAGCTCATTCGTTATTTTGTTAATTGGAAGACTGTCTCTGAGAAAGTTTAAAGATGTATTTTATTTCTTTGTTCTCCCTGTGTTCAAGGAACCTCCTTGGGATATTCTTGGGATATACAATTCAATAACAAGTCTGCCATCATTACAAGTATACCACCCAGTAGCTCCTTGTACAATACATTTGTCCACAATACACCACCCCCAGTGCCCTTCTCCATATCAGTGGTGATCTGTTAATGTATTTTGTGGTTAACTCAGAAAAGGTAAGTTTTTAGTTACATCAGTCTGTTTAATGTATAAATCCATTCAATTTTTATCATGACCTTCCTCCAAGGAACTCAGGGTGCTGCACATGGTTCTCCCCTCTCCTGTTGTTCTGACAACAACCCTGGGAGACAGTGACTGACCCATGGTTACCCAATTACTTGTGGCTGAGAAGAGATTTGAACCTGCATCTCCTTGGTCCTAGTCAAACAAGTCACTATACCGCATTAACCCTCATGACTACAGTGCTGCATTGATTTAGGGTCCATGTCTTTTGAAAGTGCTGAGAAATGGGAAGAGAAAATGGCAGTCTTTTCTGACCTTTATTTTTGCTTGGTCATCTTGCTGCATCTGTTGTGGAACAAAACTGGAGTCTTGTTTGCCACAGTAGATGTAAAAAGGATGGACAAAGGAACTTGCACAGCAATGGGCAAAAAAGTCACTACAGTAGCTTCTACTACCCCCTTGGCATTTCTAAAGTATATGCAACATCTCTGCGTTGCAGGCTGGGAGTGCTCACATATGGGGGATCTTTAACCCCACTGATTTAGGATAAGGCATTTATACTCTTTTCCCGTGTTAGGCTAGTGCAAGGTACTTCTTCCTCATCTTGTGACAGTGAGAAAGGATCATGATTCGTATGGAGAAGGTCCCAGGTTCAAACTCTGGCATAACCATGTAAAAGGACCAGGTAGCCTTTGATGTGAAAGACCCCTCCCTCAGCCCTAGGAAGCTGCTAGAAGTTAGAGCAGAAAGCTGCTCTGCGCCTGCAAAATGCTGTAGCTAGACTGCCGGGTGGAAAGTAGGGTGTGGCCCAATCCACTGAGAATACTTCTGAATGGATTCAACTGAGAATACCTCTGAAACTGCGGTGGTTGTGCCAACATAGGAAACTCTGCATGGCTTGGGATATGGAGACTTGGTGGAGCACTTTCTCCCATAGGTGCCTGCCTGGATACTAAGACTGAATGGGGACAAATTTATTTATTTGTCTTGCATGTTGTCCCATTGGCTATAGGCTGTTCGGGCAGCTCACAACAGACAACATTTTAACAAATTTGTCTGGTGTTTGATATATGAGAATCTGAGAGAGGGCACTCTGCATTCAGGTACCTGATTGTGGAACTCCTTCTCCCAACATAGGCAGTTGGCACTGAGTCTTACAAGCTTTGGGCATCAACTAGAATTTTGATTTATTTCTTCACCTACTCTCCAACTGTGGAGAAGATGGTCAGGAATGCTGGGATTGCAATATTAATTCAAAATATCTAGAGGGCATCAGGTTGGGTAGGAATATCACATGGCCATATTTATCTTGTTAGCAGAGAGACCCTTTCCACTAGTTATTGTGCATGTTCCTTATTCGCTTGTTTAAAAATTCACACAGTCAGATTGCACAATCCAATAAGTGATTCAAGAATTAAATTGGGTGATTATAGGAAACAAGCTGCCCCCCCCCCGCCACATCATTTTTTTCCAGTGGCAAACCTGTGGGACATAGGCAAGAAAAGGAAATCTTGCAGAAACATTGCCAATGCCCTATTTCTTAAGTGAGGGTGCACAGGATGCTGCATATCCTAAAACAATGGTCTTCAACTGGTAGGTCAAAACCCACAAGTGAGTCATATCACCATCTGAGGTGGTTGCACAGTGCTATCAATTTCTCAGGGTTTTTGTAGGATACATTGGACCAGGAGAAGGAGCACACAGCTCTTAAAAAAGAAGCATAATCTTTACATGCATGCAGACGTAAAATGACAGCTATGTTGAGACTGAAGTCGACAGGACTATTCTCTGACTACTGCAATTTCTCTGCCTGTGTTTCAGCAAAGTACTGCTATCAAAGTCATTTCACACTGATCTAAGGAAGTCTACCTCTCTGCTTTGTATGGCACCCAAAAGCATTTTTGTAGACATGTGCAAATGTGCATAAGCAAGAAAGAATTCCCAGCGAAGATGGTAGTTTGCATCTTCTCTCCTATGTGCCTAGATCCCTATTTACATCATGATTACTTAAAACTCAACAGCCTGCAATTTGTCACTTTGATCTTCATGCTACTTAAATCTGGAAGAATTAATCAGTTTAATCATTAATTTGCTTTGTTGTTCCAGAGTGAAGTGATCTGAAGTGGCTTTCTCTGTCTCTCTGAAGCCAGTTCTATGCATCTGTGGGGGACACGTAGAGCTTCATTGGGAAGGGACCTCTCTAGGGGTTTTTGTGGACCTGGTGGGGAAGTTTTGCAGGCCTAATCTGGTCTGCGAGTCCACTCCTACCTTATTTAATTGGGTTTCTCTAAATTAAGTTGCTTTGAGAACAGCGGTATAACATCTTTTATCATGACAGGCAACAGTGTGCCCCAGACACCCTTCTTGTTGGCCACCAAGGTGCCCTATACATTCCATTTTTTTTTCTTTTAAAGTAACACATTTTCTTATAGGCAGCTAGTAGTGCTGCCAAATGGGTTTATGTTGGTGCTGAAAACTATGGTTCAATGAGTCATTAGGATGTTGGGTCTCGAACTCCACCTCTGCCTCGTATTCAGTCTTTTGGGTAAGTTGAGTGTCCTTTGCTATGCCTCCCATGGGACCCATTCTATGGTAATGCCCAAGACAATCTCTTAGATTGCCAAATGCATCCACAATTCAAAGAGTTTGTCTACTCCTATCTTATACATCTCTCTGTTTCTATATCAGTGAACTCATTTTCCAAGTATCCTTACTATTTCTGGGCAAGCAAAATGGGAAAGTATAAAACTGCCACAGTAGCTCAGTGATCCCAAACTCTGTAGCAGGAAACTGCCTCACATTGAGTCAATTAGTCTTTTTCCTCAATACCATCTAAAACAAGGATATAGAGTCCTGAGCACACCAGGGGTTCCAATGTGGTTTTCTGGGATTTCCTAGAGAGCCAGTCTCCTTTCCGAGGACTACCAATAATGTTTCCTTGCTTTTGTCCTGTCCCCCTACCCTCCATTCTAAAATGTTGAAATGGGCTTCCTAAAGCTTGGTTACTGGAAATAAGAGCTTTGGTGATATATAATTAGCCACCCTACATCCAGGATAGGCTGAACCCCATCCAAGCATGGAGCTCTAATAAACAAGAATACCTTTTGTTTGGAATATTTAGTCCCTTCTATTTTCACGAACTCTGACATAGGTGACCTGCCATGTGCAGGGCTGAAACGCTAGAGCATGCTAGATTTGAATGGCGTTGCCATTACTGGGGAAACATGTTGACTGAGGGCCTCGTTTCAAAAGCATCTACACTGCAAGTAAAAAGATATCTCACACTGATTTCCAGTGACATTGTCTCATAGCCAGCAGAGACAATCTGTCAGTAAGTGATCTATTTGTGTGGGATGTCACTACCACCTTCCCCTGCCAAATAAGCGTTCACAGTGCATGACAGCAGCCCAATTCTCTGCATCAAAGGATGTTTCAGTTTTGAAGGAGCA